TGAGGGTACCATGGTATGATGTGATGGTACCATGGTATGATGTGATGGTACCATGGTATGATGTGACGATACCATGCCCTACATGTGCCTGTGTGCGTCTGTCTATCGGTACCATTGCAGATTGCCCCCTTTGATGTGGAGTTTGCCGTCACCATAAAAGAACTAGACTTCGCGCACACATTGGTATGCTCTCCCCACCCACCACCCTCCCATTCCTTCTCCCTTCCCACGCCCTTGCCATCCCTTCCCTTGACTCTCTCCCCCAGCCCCTCTCCTCCTGCCTCTTTTCAGCCCTCACTTCCCTGTGCATCTACGTCATCGACAGTACGCCTCGCTTCGCTGCCTCCCCCTCCCTGCCCCTTCCTTCCTGAGCATCCTCTACCCTCCTGTTTCACCCCCCCCCCCTTCAAGGTTAAGCTTAATCCCATGAGCCTAACCATCTTGCCTCTGTTTCCTTGCTCCTCCTCTCCTCTCCCCTCTCCCTCTCTCCTCCTCTCCCCTTCTCCTCCCCCCTTCTCCTCTTCCCCCCTTCCCCTCACTTCTGCCTTTGCCAGGATCACCTGCGGCGAGTGCTGCGCGGCCAGGCGTCATTCCTCAGCCTCACCTCGGGCAGCTCCCTGCTGCGCTTCTCCCCCCGGGTCACCGAGAGCCACATCGACGCCAAGAAGGTGCCTTTTTGCGCCTCCCTTCTCCTCCCTTCCTCCCTCTCCCTCTCTCTTTTTCCTTCCTCTCTTTCCGTCCTCATCGGTGTTGCAACTCGTCACCATCAGCGATTTCCCTGTCCAGTCGTTTGGCAACCCCAAGGAGTCATCATCATCCTCGTCATCGTCGCCGTCGCCGTCGTCGTCGTCATCATCCTCCTCATCATCCACTCGAATGCCGCCTCAACACTGTGCTGTGGTGCTGGCTCTCTCCCTTTGCCACCATGCTGCGTGCCACCATGCTGCGTGCCGCCATGCTGCGTGCCGCCATGCTGTGTGCCGCCTGTGTGCCCCCATGCTTGTCCCAGGAGTTGGAGAAGCTGCTCAAGTCCACGTGCGAGCAGCTCATCATGTCCGTCACCAAGCTCACAGTGGAGCCCATCCTCTCCTTCATCACCAAGGTACTTCCACCCCCTCCTCCCCCCCTCACCCCCCTCCTCCCCTCCTCCTACCCCCCTCCTTCCCCCCCCCACCTTCTCCCCCTCCTCTACCTCTCGTCCCCCTTTTCAACTGCGACCTTGGTGTGTACGTGGCGAAAAAGCCTCTGGAACCAATGATCCAGTCCAGTCCAGTGCCCTGGATAATATAGCCATGGCTCTCCCTTAGCCCGCACTGGACCCCATCCTCTCCTTCATCACCAAGGTACTGGCCCCATCCTATCCCATCCCATCCCATCCAATCCCACCCCACCCCACCCCATCCCATCCCATCCCATCCCATCCCATCCCATCCCATCCCACTCCATCCCATCCCGCACTCCTCAATAGCTTCCACCCTTCTGACATAGCGTTAAAACGCCTCCTTTCCCTCTTTTTTTCCCCACATCCTTCCTCCCCCCAAACCCCCCTCCCTCCCCCGTCCCCCTTTGCAGCTAATCCCCCCTTTGCAGCTAATCCCCCCTTTGCAGCTAATCCCCCCTTTGCAGCTAATCCCCCCTTTGCAGCTAATCCCCCCTTTGCAGCTAATCCCCCCTTTGCAGCTAATCCCCCCTTTGCAGCTAATCCCCCCTTTCTGTTTCTGGTTACACTTGAGGTTCTTGTTGCTTCCCCCGTTTCTCCTGTTCCGTTGTTAGCTTCTAGCTTTGGATCGGGCTCCCTCCCTCCCTCTTGTGCCCTCCCTTGCTCACTCCCTTGCTCCCGTTCTTGCTTCTCGCACTTCCGCCTTCTCCCTTTCGGACCTTCTTCGCCCTCCTCCTCCCCCTTCTCCTGCTCTCTTCCCCCACTCCCGTCCCTTCTTCTCCCCCCTCTGTCCCTCGCCTCGCACCCCATCAAGTCACGGTAGTGCGTGTGGGGGGTCAGCACTGGCTCTCAAGGCAAGCAGTGGAGGGAATGCAGCAGCAGCAGCAGCAGCAGCAGCAGCAGCAGCAGCAGCAGGTCCCCCGTCTCTTCACTCTTTCATCCCTCGTCTCTCCCATCCCCCACCCCATCAGGTCACGGCTGTGCGTGTGGCAGGGTCAGCACTTGCGCTCAAGGCTGGTGGGGGAGACGAGGGGCATGCGGGGCAGCGCCTGCTAAGGGACCAGGCGTTTGCGTCACCAGAGAAGCTCGCCCAAGTGGTCAAACTGGTGAGAAGAGAGTGAGCGAGGGAAGAGTTGAGAGGGAGTAGAGGGGGGGGAAGAAGGGAGCAGGGAGGGGTGGGAAAATGCGGAGGGAAGAAGGGCAAGGGAGAAGGGGGATAGCGGGGGAGAAAGGGATGGGTGGATGTGGGCTCTGCTAGCGCTCTGCTGCTCCTACCACTATCCTTACATCTCCCCTCCCCCCTCCCCCCCCCCCCCCCCGGCCACCTTTTCTTCCTTCCCAAATTCGCAGGTGGACGAGGCCCTCAAGGTGTCGCTGCCAGACGTGGTGGGCAACATGGCTCTGTACCTCCCGCATACTGCCACTCGGGCCATCCTCTTCCGACCCATCAAGTACGGCCTCTCCTTCACTCTCCCTCACTCTCCTGCACTCTCCCTCACTCTCCCTCACTCTCCCTCACTCTCCCTCATTCTCCCTCACTCTCCCTCACTCTCCCTCCCTCTCCCTCCCTCTCCCTCACTCTCCCTCACTCTCCCGCACTCTCCCTCCCTCCTTCTCTCTTGCCGACACGCGTGCGCACACGCACACACACGCCGGCCTTTCAACCTTCTTCAACCCTCTCCATCTGTCCAGATTAACCCCTGAACATATCTTCTGTTTTATCTGAGCTTGGCATGCGGCCTACGTGTTTCCCCAAGGACCCTCACGGCCAGGATCATGCAAACTGCTTTTCAAGTGCGTATGTTCCAATTACTCATTTATCCTACGTATCTCTGCGCATCCCTGCCTCCCCACATCCGCGCAGGTCGAACATCCTTGAGGCACATGCGCAGCTGCAGGCACAAGTGCACTCATAGGTTACAGCGGAGGATAGAGCGGTGTTGGGGCTCACTTCATGTCATTTACCTCCAACTTCCTCCTTGTCTCATCCCTGCCTCCCTGCCTCCCGCATCCACGCAGGTCGAACATCCTGGAGGCACATGCGCAGCTGCAGTCGCTAGTGGACTCGGAATACACCGAGGAGGATAGGGCAGTGGTGGGACTCATCTCGTCTGCCGACCTCCTCACCTTCCTCGATGGCCTCACATGAAGCAGTGATAGATCATAGTATCGGACACGTTGGTTCCCCCCCGGAGCAGCAGCACTTTTTATGGTAGACGGCCTCACATGAAGCAGTGATGGATGCTGTGATCCCCCTCCAAGCAGCAGCCCTTCTTACAGTAGATGGCCTCACTTGAACGGATGCCGGGATGTGCTGCGCACTTACGGAGCGGTACCTACTGGTAGATTGAATGCACAATCTTGCGTCACACATACGGGAACATGTACCGGCACTTGTCTACTCTTCCACCCACGAACCTTGTACGGTTTGTGTGCATTTTATATTTGAAACCGCACATGCACATGCCTCCATCCATTGGCAGTGTAGTGAGATACGTAGAAGTCCTGTTCCTACCTCGGCCTACCGTGATCTCCCGACAAAAATACCCCCCCCCGAAAAAACCACCCTGGGGCTTCATTCCGGAGAGGGGTTTTACCGTAAAGTGTGACAGAATGTGAGGACCCTAATTTTGACCTAAATATTTTGAGGACCCTCCACTTCAGAGCAAAACGAGGTTTTTCTATATATTTTCCAGTGGAAATGTTGAGATACGCGTGACATTTGAGTTCAAATTCGACCGTCCTTCCCCCCCGACGAAAGCTCCCCGCTGTAAGGACCAGCGCCGGTAGGCAAGACGCCGCACGAGGTGCCAGCGAGGTGGGGCAGACAGCCGTCGGACCCCAATTTTGTTGGTCGACGTGCGACAAATAAGAATCTAAGCCCCGCTTAAAACATGGGTCCCCCCGCACTGTCCCATCAAACAAGTTGTACACTGCAAAATTTTATAGCTTACATAATAAATAGTTGCACACGGGTCTTTGAAATTTCCACCCACTAAGTTGTCCACCCATACGATTTTTCATGATTTTTAAACAAGCCGTGGGGTCCTTTTGTCGGAGATTACGGTACGCTGTGACGAGTCTACAGATCGGTGCCACGGGAAGCACCTGATTGTGTGTGCGACGTTCGTCAGAGACAGAAAGACGCCATCGTCAAGGAGTTCTTTGCATCCCATCGCACTTAGTATCACTGTCAACAAGGCGGATGCGGCGTCCTGTCCTGCCTGTAGTGCCTGCCTGGCTAGCATACAGCACGGAAGTACCACCACACATAGCTCAGTCCGCATCACATTGCATTGCACATGGCACCCTGTCCAGTCCAATACCGTACCGGTACAATGCAGGTCCCATCCCATGCCATGTGTCTTAGCCAATCCTCGCCGCACGCCGCACGCCGACGCACCAAGCCCCTCCTCGCCGCATGCCAGGCCCCAGCTCGACGACGCGTCAGGCCCCAGCTCGCCGCACGCCAGGCCCCAGCTCGCCGACGCGCCGGCCCCTGCTCGCCGCCGCGCCGATTCCCTGCTCGACGCCGCGCCGGCCCCTGCTCACCGCCGCGCCGCCCCCCTGCCCGACGCTGCGCCGACCCCTGCTCACCACCGCACCGGCCCCTTGCTCGCCGCCGCACCGGCCCCCTCTCGCCGCCGCGCCAACCCCTGCTCGACGCCGCACCGGCCCCCGCTCGCCCCCGTGCCGGCCCCCTACTCGACGCCGCTCCGACCCCTGATCGCGGCCACGCCGGCCCCTGCTCGCCGCCGCGCCGGGTCCCTGCTCGACGCCGTGCCGGCCCCAGCTCGACGGCGCGCCGGCCCCAGCTCGACGGCGCGCCGGCCTCTGCTCGACGCCGCGCCGGCCCCTGCTTGATGCCGCGCCGACCCCTTCTCGACGTCGCCCCGGCCCCTACTCCACACCGCGCCCGGTCTCTCCTCGCCGCCGTAAACCGCACTCCACCGCTCTCCAGCGCACTACAAGGCACTCGCTTGCTCTTGGCTCCTCCTTTTCTTGTGTCCTCAGCTGCTGCAGCTGTGCTGTTGTTTGGCCGCTGCTGGTGAGCCGCGGCCGCCTCTGCTGACACGTGTGCGCCATGGCGGACGCCGTCCTCCGCCTGGACACAGAGGGTCGTGCGGTGGATTTTGAGGCGTGACTCGCCGACTTGCACCGCCAGCTGAAGGGTCAGCGCCAATACGGCCAGAGACTGGCAAGCTGTCCTTCCCTCCCGCGCCTACTACCCTTGCTGCCGAAGCCGCACCTGCTGCGGGTGAGACTTTTGCAGCTGCCGAGAACGTTCGCTCTATCTGGGAGTCGCGTGATGCCACTGCGCAACTAGCTATTAGTCACACCCTCCCACTGTCCGAGCGTCCCCGCTTTCAGGCCATAGACACTATGAAGCAGAATCTAGACGCTGTTATCGCTCGCTATTCCACTCCCTCATCTGCCTCTGCTGGTCGTGTCCTCCTGCCCTTGCTCTTCCCTTACCTAGCTTCCTTGCTCGTCGCTGATCTGGCCAACCACATGCATGTTTGCGAGTCTAGCTACCGCAATGCTAGCACTGAGGCTCAGCTCACTATACTCCTCCCTCCCATCGGCGCCACCCTTACTTTCGTTGCCACGCGCCTCCCTGACCGCCTAGCCACCGCCCGTGACACCTTCCTTAGTCTACACCCCGCTGAAATCAACCTTGACGACTTTGTCACCACCCTGTCGGCGATAGAGACCCGCCAGCACACTATCGCTCAGTCTAGCGGTACTGCGGCCGTCCTTATCTTCCAGGGTTGTGCTCCCTCCCAGTGCACTTACTCTGATGCTTCCGCCACTGTTGCTGAAGCAGCCCTTGTCACTGTTGCTCAGCGCAGCCTCGTCAGAGTAGAGGCCCCCGTTGCCCCAAGGGGGGGCGTGGGGGAGGGAAAGGTGGTGGGGGTACTAGGGGTGGTGGGGGTGGTGGGAGCGCTGGGGGTGCGGACGAGGGGGTGGGGGCTGACGCCCCAGAGCAGCAGCAGCAACAACATGAGCAGTAGCAGCCGAGGCAGCAGCAGCCACCGCAGAAGCAGCAGTAGCAGCAGAGGCCGCAACAGCAGCAGCAGCAGCAACAGTGGGGGCCCTCGCCGCTGTGGTGGCCATGCGGCTTCGGTGGTGGTGGCCGCGGAGGCGGCCCTGGCAGCTCGACATCAAGTGGTGGCCGCGGTCCTGAGAGTAATTAGTACCAGATTCAGTCTGGTCCCCTCCGTGGCAACGTCTGTGGCCGCACTGGTAACACCGCCGCCCGCTGCTACCGCCGCCTCGACGAGCTCTTCCATCTCCGCTTCGGGCCTACGTAGGCCCTCCCGGAGTGGCCCAGCCTGGTGCGTCGTCGTGTGCCGATCTTTGAGCTGGATATGGATCAGATAGGATATGTTATGCATGCTGTGTATGTTGAGGATTCTAGCGTTACTGGACCCTAATACTCTTCTGTGCTTAGACTAGGAGCTTCTGATGTGTGTAGTCTAGGCTCCCTTGCTTTGCCTAATGTAAGACCCCCTAACTTGTATAGCCTTGGTTCCACACTTGCGCCCCCACTGGCCGACGCTTCCGCCGTGCTCTTTTTCACATTGAACCCTGGTGCATCCGCCTGCTTCTTTCGCGACAACACCATTCTCACGCCGCTTCCTGCACCGGCAGCAGTCTCCCTTGCAGACCCCTCCTCCGGTCCGGTAGTCGCACGCAGCTCCACCAAACTTCCTTGTTCGACTGTTCCCTCTGGCTCTCTTACAGGTCTGCACATCCCCTCCGTTTCCAGGAACCTGGTTGGTGTAAGCCGTCTTCAGAACCTCGGCGTCACTACCAAGTTTCCTGTACACGAGCGGTATGCAGTCTCTACCGAGGCCGCCACTAGTGCTCCCCTCACCATTTTTCCACGAGACCTTGTACCTGGTATGTTCATGCTGCACACCGCGTCCCCCCTGGTGGCTGCATCCCCCGAGGTGGCTACGTATACACAGGTCGCTGCGGATTGCTCGTGTCGGTCACTCACTTACTCGTCGCTCCTGCGGTATAACTGTCTAGGTCACCCCACTCTCTCGCATCTCTGCCACATGTCACTGCACGGTCTTGTCTTAAGTCTCCCTGCGTCGCTCCCTGCCCTCCCTCCCTCACCCACACCTCAGTGCACGCCTTGCGTTGAGGGGCTGCAGTGCGCTGCTCCTCACTCCTCCTCGTTTCCCCCCACCACTACATCACGTGGACGTCTAGAGCCCAGCCACGCTCTCTAGGCCGCGCCGCGAGCGCTACTTCCTGGTTCTCGTGGACAAAAACCCGCGCTACACCACGGTGTTTCCCCTCGAGCAAAAGGTCGGCATGCCTAACGTTCTTATTCCGTAGCCTGTAGCTGCCCGAGTCCATGCCCAGCCTGTGCTTCGTCTACACTCCGACAGCGGAGGCGAGTTTGCCTCCTGTCGGCTTGGCCTGTTCTATCGTGCGGAGGGCATCACCCAGTTGTACACACTCCCGGACTCCCTCCAACTGAATGGGATCGCTGAGCGACACATCGGTTTGGTCATGGAGGTGGCTCGTACCTCTATGATCCATGCCGTTGCACCAAATTTTATGTGGCCGTTCGCAGCTTGCTACGCCGCTCACCAACTTAACATGTGGCCTCGCGCTTCGTGCCCACTGGTTTCGCCGACCCTTCTCTAAACCGCATCCCCTGGTGACACGTCTACGATTCACGTCTAGGGCTGCCTAGCTCACGTCCGCGACTCTCGCGCGGACAAGCTCACCGCCCGCACTGTCCCTTAAGTCTTCGTTGTTTTCCCCCTTGACGGTCCTGACTGGCACTTTTTACCACCCGTCGTCTCATTGTTTCCTCCACTTGCGTGACGTCACCTTTGATGAGTCTGCCTCCTTCTACACCCGCTTCCCCCACAGAGGTCCCCCCGTTACCCCGCCCCTGTTCCTTTTCCCCACTCCTCGGGTAGCTCCCGCTCCCCTCCCTCCCAGTCCTACCCCATCTGGTATGTCTCACGTCACTCCCCTTCCCTCGGTTGGCCCGGCGGAGAAGTCTGCTGACTCTGGGGGTCCCGGGGCTCCGAGTGCACTATCTGTTTCCGCGGTGCCTGCACCCCCGGCCCCGTTGCCTCCGCCACCACAGCCGCAGTAGCACACGCCACAGCAGCAGCAATCGCAGCAGCAGACGCCGCAACAGCAGGGGCCGGTGGACTCTGGGGGTGTTGGCGCGGGGGGTGCTGGTTCTGAGGAGGGTGCTAGTTCTGGGTGTCCTAGTCATGGGGGTGCTGGTCCTGGAGGTGATGTCTCGGCGAGTAGTGGCGGTAGCCGCGGTGAGGCTGGAGGTCTTGGTGTGGGCACGGAGTAGCAGCAGCGGCAGCAGTAGCAGCTGCCAATGTCCGCCCTTCGCCTCCTCGGTCTTCCCTCGCCTCCCCCGACCGAACGCCCGTGCCTCCCCCAGCGCCACCTCCTCCTCCTGTCTACAGCCCCGTGTTCCCTCTGCCAGACTCGTCTCCGACTCATTTCCCCCCTCGTTCTCCTCCTTTGTCTCCCCCTTTGTCTTTTGAACCAACGCGTCCCTCCCACTTCTGGTC